AAGTTTCTAACAGATATACCAAGCATGTAGTGTTCGATAGAGTTGGTCCTTATTATTGCTGTTGTAACATTACCTGAGGGTTGAAAAAGTCACCCCTCTAATAGATTAAAATGGAGTAAATTATTTGGGTTCAGTGATAATGCATAGTAAAAGCAGACAATTTACCAGTAATGTCAAACTTTTTGCATAGAAACTGAAACAAGATAATTAGGAAAAATGTCTATACCCAGAGTGAAATGCAAATTATAGAAAGTCTGATTGATTTGTGTCATCAGAGTTCATTATTTTGATGTTACAAATCATTGAGGTTGCTAAGTCAGTAAGATATTGGATTCTCTAAATATACTTACAATAGATCAAATTTGAGGAGGACACGTTTCACTTCACTGAATGTGATGGGCATTGGAATAAACCACTAGAGCACACTAACTGAACTGTAGCCTAATATTAGATGTTCTTCTGAGACTCAAGGCTGGAAGATAATGAAATTCCAAAACAAATCTCAAATCTTCTCTGAATATGTTCAGTTAAAGATTTATCTTACCTGTTTCTAATGACCTTTGGTGGAAAATGATTCTGATGCCTCTCATTGCTGAAACCTGTTTTACAGGTAGATTTTATTTAATGCTCCAAACTTCTATCTGATTTTCCAAGCTTCTCTAATAAAAAGCAAATATTCTTGGTTTGGTTTTCCTTTGCTTTATTCATATTTACAGAAAATGGATTTCATATTTCATTCTTTAAAGATTTAGTTATGTTTCCAGTTTTTTTCTTTTGCTCTGAAATTATTTTTATAATTTCATGCACATTTGTTGAATACTCCCTGAGATATGTTTTATCATGTATAGCATGATCTTGTCAAAGCTCTATAGATAGTACAATTGTAATTTTGGGAAGCAGTATTGGGAATCAAACCCAAGACCAGGCAGCGCTTTGTGGGCAACTGTGATTTTTAGATTTTCTCTTCTAATTTTTATGGGACATAATCTTTTCTTTTGTCTTTAGTACTTATTATCAACTAGATGCTTTCAATAAATTTCAGAAAAAGAATTAACTCATCATAAAAATACAATATTCCATATATAAATATATATATATATATATATATATATATATATATATATATAATGATTATGACCATTATTTGTGAGAGATAACTTTCCTGGACTAAGAAATACCTATCAGATTAATAAATCACATTTCCAGGGATATGAGTGAGGTGTTTCAGACATGACCAGCATGTAGATCAGCAATCTGAGGTGGGAAAACACCATCACTGTAGATGGCAATTTCCCATAGACTTCTAGTGTAGATGGGATGAAAAAAGAACAGGCAGGAAGTCAACCTGCTCTGAAAAACTCCATTCAGCTTCAACGTGCGTGTCTTCTTTCTATTACCAAGACTTAGAACACTTTTTATTAGTACATTTTTGCAGTACATAGTGATCACACTGTACTGCACATAACACATTTTAATGCCTTTCCATGTTCCCTTTCTCTCCTCTCCCCCTACTTTTTCCATCTCATGACACGTTTCTCATTTGTAAAACTATCTATCTTTCAGTTTTCTATTTTCTTTTATTTTGCTTTTCATAGTTTGGGTTACCTCACATAAATAATATCATGCAATATTTAAGCATGTGTGTGTGTGATTTATTTCACTAACCACTATGGTTTCAAGATCCACTTCCCTGAGTAGGTCTATTACCATAACTTATGAATGTCAATTTCTAGTTTATTTACCTGTTCAATAAACATTTATATTACTGACTAAATATAAATGTAAACCTAATAATAATTCCCTTTGCAAAATTATATTTTGTTCTCTGCTTCTACCTAAGCAATACAGTGATTGATTTGATCTTATACCAAACGCTAAAATAGAAACCAGAAAGTGGGCTTTATAATTCTAATCTGTCATTTTAGATAAAATAAACACATGTCTGACTAGCTCTGTTAATAAAGCAGAATTTGACATTAACTAACAATGAAGTTTTGGAAAATTTCAGGAGTTTCAGGGAAAAAGGCTAATAATATGATAGAGTAGAAATTGTTAAATATAAGTAAGTCAAAAAATGGCTTTCACAAATGAAATTATATCAGAACTCTGCATATCATCAAATTTTGAAGATAATCTTTGAATCATTTAAATAATTTACCAGAACCCTATCATTACCCAACTTCTATTTGTATTTTATAACATGTAATAATTAACCTGATGTGTGCCAGCTTTTTAAAAATGATGTATTTTTTAATGAAATATAAATTCTTGGAGAATGTGTAAAATTCACTAGTGAGGATAATATAAGTCCTTCCATACTTTCATCAGGAATTTGTCATTTGAACTCAATTACTCATAAAAAAGAAAATGTTTATAATATTCCCAGTGTTATAATTTGTAACAAATTTTCAAGATTAACACTTTCATAGCTTTATAAGTTTGAAAAGACACTGCTCTATCTTTATGAACAACAGTAAAATATATACCAAACTTTCTATGCTTAGTGAATTGATCACAGATTCTTATAGTTTTGAGACTTTGCCAACAAAAAATACCCACATAAATTCTGTTATGAATGTGTAAAATAAGATTGTAACAAACCAAATACCTGAATCATTAGTATTGCTAATAATTCTCATTTGTTCAAAAAGTATCCAAATTTTTCCTCATCTACAAATAGTCCCATTGAAATCACTAAGATCATGTTCTCTTTTTTTCAGCTGTCCATTTTTAGACCACTTATTTCCATCCCTGAGGTTCAACTCTAACAACTGTTCCCCTACTGAAATTTGCAAAATGAAGAGTAATCAAACAACTCACACAAATAGGAGGAAAATTCATTCTATGTTTTCCAGTTAGGGGAAAGGTGCCATGGTAAGCTGTTTGAGCTGTGAAGAATAACAGAGTTTAGTGGTTTTGTCTTGAAATTATCCCATAAGCTACTCATACACACTGTCTCCTTTCCAAGAAAATTCATGCTTCCTAAAGTACTAGATTAAATAGGTTACAGAGCAGTCACATTAGGTCTTATCTTCTTGACCACCTGACCTGAAACCCTGAAAACTTTGTATATCCTAATGAAGCTCCCAGATAGTGGTGTAAATCAGGGAATGCAAATAGATACTGGCAAGGAGATGTACTAACTAAACCAAAATGAATAAAGAGTTCAGCATTTATCCAGCAGGGAACCCTGCTTCAACTAGTTGAACAATTTATTATAAAAGACTGTACCATGTTCCATCCTGCCTAATAAAAAATCTTTTCATAAGTTAATAAATTGATAACTGCAGAGAAATTCAAAATTAATGCCAAACTGGCATTTTGAAAATTTCATTGCAACTCATGTAAATAATTGATCAAAAGTGTCTGAAATGCTGTGAAAATACTAAAAATGAAGGGTTATGTAGCATGTGATCATATGAATTCACTACAATTTATTTAGTCATTTTCACCTACTCTTATAATAATGTGTCCTAAGAATCAGACCAACTATATATTATTCTGTCTCCAGCAAACACCTGTAATACTACCAAGCTAATTCCCTTATGGACAGGTCCTAAAATTGACTGAATTTGCTATGTGACTCTCTATTTAGGTATAGAACTCTTGATTTCTCTTACATAAATCAATCAAATTATCAGATGTTACTGGTAGTAACATTGACTATACAATGTTATAATATTATTCTTGTGTCAAATGTAAAAACTAATGGATCATCAAAATAGATAAAGATTAAAATATTAATTTGTGTATAACTGGCAAAGTCCATATGATAGTTCAATAATAGAGCATGAAGATGCTTATGATGAAAATGATGGAACCTGCAACATTATACAAAATGATAAAACTTTCTTCAAGTCTAAATCATTGAGATTTTGTAGTCTTTCCTCCATATTTCAGTTTATAGTCACTGGCATGCCAATATGGATTTAATATTATCCAATGTTATGTGATACTGTCAAAGTGACAGATGAATTAAAGTCAGTGGTGCATTTTGTGAATTTTTCAGCTCTGACTACACGTCATCAAATATTTAAAAGTCAAGCAGTATATTATATTCTTTCAAAAACTTCTTAGATGTTAGGTAATAAGAGGTAGATTTGACAGAGCAAAATTCACAGAAATGATGTTCTGAAGTTAAAAATAACTTAAGAAGTGAAAGACTGTACCTGTCACTGAGCAAGCCCTGCCTCTTTTATGAAGACTGGATCTCACGCACTCGTGAGGCTTTAGAGGAATCTGCCACTGTCAGGGGAGCTCAGAAGGTATTAACTTGCTGCTGGGGATGTGATCATTTCTTCTCCCAAATGTCTATTTTTTTAGAAAAGGGCAAAAAGCTCCACTATATATAAAAGATTTTGAAGGAAATACACTTTTGCATATTAAATGTGTTTTAAAGTTGTTCCTGTGTGTACATAATTCTAAAATCTATGAAACTGGGGATAATGAAAAATAGTATTAAAATAAATGCAGAGGGAATAAGACATTGCAGCACACATCTATGTCCTTGAATATTAACAGTTCTAAATGAACACAAAACAAATTGAGCTCAGCTCTCAAAAAGAGTGAGGATCATTTTTCAGTCTTCCTTATTCTGTTTGTGGCAATGGAAGGCTTTTGTTTTGCTAACATACCAATACTTCTGCCCTGTTTTCTGAAAGGAAATGAGCTCAGTATCGTCATTCTAGTTAAGAGTTATAGGATGATAAATTTAAAACTTAATAAAAAAAAAAAAGACTTGAATTTTTCTTTTGGGTCTAACAAGTACCCAGATGATACAAACTCTTCCTCTAGTCTACTTCTGATGATCCAGCATAGCCTCAGAGACAGGGAGCACAACAGGCAGCTCAAACACTAAGTGAAACAGTGTCATTACTGCTTAGGACAAGTCTTCCTCAACTGAAATAAACCAGACCTTATATGATGCAATCTGAGGAATTTAAAATACCCCTTCATGAATCATCATCTAATTCCTTGGCCTGAAGGAATTTTGTTATCATCATTGCAGATAGCTTAGTTTTGATTAGGCCTTGGTATACACATGAAAAGTCACATATAATATGTTAAATCTTATAAATACAATCTTTAAAGAATCAGCAAAAATAGGTCACTTCCTGATTGAGAATGAGGCAGAAGCTGCTGCTTAAATTTCCAACAATTCAAGCTACATATTATAGAAGACCATCAACATCAGGCTATGGCAAAATTTCTGTCAGTTGTCAGATAATGAATGTGAACAGATTTTTAAAATTCTGATTCTGTAGAAAAAATAACATGAGGAAAAAAGTGAGTTGAATCTGTTCAAATCAAACTTTAATAAAGTTAAATTTGTACTGGGTACTTAAGTATTGGTTGAAAGTTTTTTTTTTTTTTTAATTCTAGAGTTTGAAATATTTCACTTGAAGCTTGTCTTAACCTGAAGGTTTGTGCTGAAAAGTCTGCTGTGATTCTAACAGACTTTCCTTGGGTAAGTTGTGTCTTTTCTCTAACAGCTTTTAATATTCTATTTTTATGCTGTATGGTGGGATCTTAATTATTATATGTCTGGGTATAGATTATGTTGGTTGTGACTGTTTGGCATTCTATATGCCACACTTATTTGTATATCAGATTTTCCCCCCATATTTGGGAATCTTTCTGATACTTCTGTGAATATTTTATGTATGTTATTTGTGTTGACTCTTGCATCTTCATGGTGTCTCTTAATCTTATATTGTTTTTCTTGGCATCATCTTGAAGCTGCTGGTTGTGATTTCATGTATGCTTTGTTGTTTTTATAAGTTCTACCCTTTTATGATTGCTAGGTGTGATCCTGTCCTCAAGGTCTGAAATTCTATCCTCAGTTTCATTTAAACAATTTTGCCAGCTTTCAATAGAATTTTTTGTTTCTTGGATATTGCTTTGAATTTGTTTCATGGATTGTGCTTTTTTTCTACATTGTTCATTCAAAATTTCAATCAATTTCCCATGTTCCTGTATTTTATTAACATATTTCTTCTCTAGCTGAGCAACTCTTTTACTAAGGTTGTTATTTTTGTCTTTACAGGAGAAATTATTTCTAATTTGATTTCCTCTATGGCCTCATGGATTTTTTTTTTATTTCATTTGCTATCTTTTCACAGATTTCTGGTGTTAACTTTTAAAGTCCACTGTTTTGCTGTCACCTGTTCTTGCTCCTGATGGACTATATGTTTGAGATTACATTTGCTTTTTTGTTTTGTCATTTTCACCTTCTGGGCCAATATCTGGTTATTCAGTCCCAATAGTCACAACTGTCAGCAGTGTTATCCTAGGGTCCTACTGTGTGGGTTTTGTTCATCCAATTGTTGGGTACATAGTGACCAGAACCTGCCAAGGTCCTCTGACTGAATGAGGGGCTACTAAGTCCCAAACCAGCATGGCCAATCCACTGCAGTTCAAGATTCTGGGAGTGAGAGTGAGAGCCAAACATTCACAGCAATGTTTGGTCTAAGGGATGGGGAGAGTAGCCGAGGGCAGCATGCTGAGCCAGTTGGGTGTGGTGGTCCTCTGGGTTGGCACGTAGGAAGAGCATGCCAGGCATAGGCACCATGGTGGTCCAAGCCAAGGTGGGCACAGCAATCCTCCTCCAGGAATAAAATTAAATTTTTTTAATTCCATGCAAATTTCATGTCAACCATTTATAAAGCCAAAAATCATTCTTAGCTTGAGGGTCCTGTAAGAAAAGTTAAACAGACTTACATGAGTCCCCATCTAGAGACGTGATAAACATGTCAAAATCTGTATGTCTAAAATCCAGCTGTTGAATCTACCAGTTTTCTACCTCAATAAGAGAATAAAAATTCTTCTAACAATCTAAAATACAAGCTCATCTCTCAGGAAATCAATAGGTGCTGTTTGTTGTATTGCTTATGTCAAAAACCTTGTAATTTTTCTTAATCTGTCTCAAGTTCTCTCACATTTTAAATCTAATTCGTTCAGCCGGGTCTTTAAAATGCCTCCAGAAACAGTTTGATATGAACTACTCAGAACCTTCCACACTAGCCAAACTCCTGAGTCTCCTGGTCTATCCCTTCTAGTCTTACCAAACTCATTCTATTCTCTACACAACCTATGAAGATTTTCCTAAAGAATAAGTAAGATTTTACTCTACACTTTTAAAGTACTCCTGGTTCTTCACCTTACAGCAAAAGCAAATGTTAAGTCCATAAAGTGACTTACAAGGACTATGTGTCTGGATCACCTTCTTTCTCACTGACCATCATTTCTAGCACTCACACCTCTGCCATAGCCACATTAGCATTGGGCCTGTTACATTTGAAACTCAAGAATACTCTATCCTCAAAGTATTTTATAATTACTGTTCTTTTTATCTGGAGCACTTTTCCCGTGTGGATATGCATGGCTCATTCCTTCATTTCTTCTTCTTCTTCTTTTTTTTTTCTTTTTTTTTTTTTTGTCTCTAGTATGTAGATACTAAAGACTTTTTTTTAAACAGCAATGATGTGTCCCCTCTAATAAGCCATAATTGAAGTAATAAATTAATGATGATGAAGAATGAATGAAAAGACATAGGAGTTATCAAACAGAGTAACAGGAAATGGAGATTATGCCTAACAACTAGTTTAGGACTAATATATTCCTTAAGTCACCATAAAAATACTGGAAGCACTATTATATTATAGCTAAACATACAAGGTTTGTTTTACGTCACATTTCTGTTCAAATATCCACTTCCTTTCCAGATATTTAAGAATTTTTTAGTAGTTTAGGGATTTTAAACTTGAAAAGTTATAATTATACCATGAGGGTACCTATTCCCTGTGAAATAATTGAGAATTTTATATAAACTATTAACTACAATGTTTTCTATTAACTAGAAAAATTTTAAGAATTAAAATTACTAATATTATAGAAAGATCACCTATACTTATAAATATCACCTTCAATAAAATATAAGGAAACACACATAAAGAAAAAATGACAACTCCAAAAGTTGAAAATAGAGAAAATCTATATCAAGCTTAATGTATAATTATTGATTTGTAGGATTCAGTCCAGGCCATGTAATGACCTGTGTTAATATGAAGATATTAACTTCTTGAACACGTGCTAGCTGTCAATATTTCAAGTATGCTTTAAAAGTCTCTCTAGTGGGAGCACAAAAACAAATGCATTTCTAAGTCTTGTATTATTTTTATTTAAATGTATTTTAATTGGTACATAAAAATGTACATACTACTATAGTATCTATTTATCTTTATTTTATTTTAAAGAGGGTGAAAAAGGATAAAATCAATCAAAACAAACCAGCGTAGAAACACAGTATAAGAAATATAGGCCTAAAAACCAAGATATCTTGTGTTTCATTTTATGAACACATTGTATAATGTTTAAATCACGTTTAAACATATCTATCTCTTCAAACATTGATTATTTGTATATGGTGAAAATGTTCAAAATTCTTTTTAGCTTTTCAAAATATACAGTACCACTGAGATATATGTGCATCAGTGTTTACAGTAGAACAGTTTTTCTTTGCTGGTGAATAAATGTAGAAAGATAAAGATACTTGAAGGTTTTATGAAGCTTGCAAAGGCCATTGATAGGAAATGATTGTCACATCTCACCTTGACTCTTTGAGAAATAATTATTGTCACTTAATGGTTGACAGGTTGGAATCAAATTTAACAGTCTGGATGTTTGCAAGAGAGAAGCGGGGAATGACAACTAAGAACGCCTGTCAGCAAAAGTTCACTTAAATCTTGAAAAATGTGGGGATACCTTTCTGGTGCAGTGAAAACATGCCAGACCTCACAAGGTGCCTGCCTTAAAACAACTTTCTTGTGCTGAAAAATGTGCAAAGTTTTAGTAATGTCTTTAATTATTTTTTAAAATCTGATTTCTTATTCTCTTACAAGAATGTAATTGAAACTGCAATTAAAAATATAGTGTGTTTAAATTTTTAAAAATTGTTACACTAAAAGACAGGTTACAATTGCAATTAATTTTCCTCAAACTACACCCTGCTGCTTCAAACACACTTGTTCCATCATTCTTGCCACTGTCTGAGGCGGATCTGGAAGTGCTTTTTTTGTTTGTTGTGCTGCCTTGACTGTCTGTATAGGTACCCAACCCATTCACAATGTTTACCTTTCACATTCATTTTGACTTTGGTGAAGAGCTAAATGTCACAAGAGGGACAATAATAGCAATGCAATAGATATTTACATTCAAATATTTACCGTGTTTTTAATTCACCCCAAGAAAAAAATTCAAGGTAAAGAGGAGCTACAATGTATCATCAAGTTTTCTTTCTTAGGGATTTCCTCCATATTTTCCATGAAATCAGTGTAACAGGTAATGCCTAACTGATTTAGAAAGGAAAATCTGCCTTCCACTTTTTAATTTTATAGCAGATGATACATTTTTCCAAAATTAAAAATTCTTGTAAAGTTCTTGTTACCTTACAAGAATATCTTAAATTAAAATACTGTAATATTTTGACAGTCAAGTATGATAGTCTTCTGTGTAGAATATGTTCTTTCTATTATTGTTTTAAGTCTGCATTGTTATTCGCACACAATTGAAACTGATGTGCTTTAATAATTCTAAGCACTGTTCTTCTACATTCGATTTAAACTTACACATATACTCTCATGTACCTCATAACCATTTTTTACTCAATGACAGACCACATATACAATGATATATAACACATAGACCAGATGTTGAGTAGGCTATAAGATCTCCGTTTGTGCAAATACACTAGATGATAGTCTCATATTGGTGACATCACCTGTTCATGCATTTCTCAGAACATATTTTGTTATTATGCAGTGCGTATATAATTATGATATAATTAAAATTTCTTTGCCATGTTACTTTCTCATAAAAAGACTTTAAATGGAAGAATATAAAGGTTAGAAATTTGCTTTGCTCATTAATGGATGGATGTAATCAACACATTACTTTAGTGATACCCATGGAATTATTACATTCATCTCTTCACCAAACAGCAAATGATCATTTAATGTTATATGGAATCCAATACTTATTTATTTATTTAGAACATCATAAAGTAAGAAGTATTTTGATACTATAAAAATATCATTGCAAAATATCTTCAAAATAAAAATTTTGAAGAAATTAGATAGAAGTTTGGTTGTCTAGATAGAATCAGAATTTTTAAAATTTTAGGTTTACTTGTACAAGCCTTTAATGAATCACAACATATCTAATTCCATGTTCATAATCATATGTTCCACTGAACATATTATGTGGAATATAATACTGATAAGATTATACTGAATGATCATTCTATTTATGACTGAGGATAAAGAATTCAGTTTAAAACTTCATGTCTTCTTTCCTATTTATGTGATGAATATGTGCTTTGAATTAAATAAATCGTACTTCTGCTGGGTAAATGTACCCAATATCTACTGTGAAGTTAACAGTATTTGTTCTTGTTTGCAAAATTTGTGTTTAATATAAAAATCTCACAAAAAAGTGATAATATTAAATATTCATATGTCCTACTGTTTTATCAGGAGCAAAGATAATAATAGTAAGTATATGATATATATAGCATATATCATATAACATATAAAATAACATAAACATACAAACTATATATATAACGTGTAAAATAACATAAAACAACATATAAAATATCAAAAAAGAATTTTTTTAGTGTACAAAATCTGAAATTAAGTACTTAATGTACTGTAAGATTATAAATGACTTAAGTAAACATTTCAAATATCTTAAAATGATCTTCAGGCTGGGGATTTATTTCAGCAGCATAAGCGTCATGAAAGCACACAGTTGTCTGATCCTCAGAACTAAAAAAAAAAAAAATCTTCAAATAATGTGACAATTTTTATAGATATTTATCTGCCAAATAATAGAATACAATTTTATATTTGTGAACACTGATTATTAAGGAACAGTGAACTAAGGTATATTTTTTATAACTAAACATCATGAGTTAACAATATATCATTGCCATATGGACTGTATGTTTCATAAACCTAAAGGAGAAAAAAATATCAAATAAACTTTTGAAAATCTTTGTATAAAAACTGTGCTTTCATCATGAAATGCATTCAGACATTGAAAAGTTAAGAAATTAAAAATCTTATCTACACTTATTGTAGTGAATATTAACATTATATCTGCAAAATGAAATTGGTATATTCTAAAACCTGAATCCTTCTGTTTAGTCTACTTTCTCTAAAATGATTGAAGTTACCTGATATCCAATTATCACTAAAATCTGAAGTATTCTTTATAAAGATAAAATTGCTAAATATTAGAGAGTATTACTTCACTTTATTTGTAAAACCAAACTCTGAATTTCTTAGTTAAAAATACATTTTCCTGAAGGTGTAAAATGCTTACCTTGTATGCATGAGGTCTTGGACTCAATCCTAGTACTGCAAAACCATGAGAAAAATTGTTTGATAAATCAATTTACACAGAAAAAAAAATGAAGAGAACATGAAACTGAACTAAGTTTACTTAGCATTTTGCCAAGAGGAGATTGATCAGTATGAATCAGTATGGTTTCACAAAAAGTTATACTATTCCTGACATTTCATAAAATAGCTAGAGAAATTAATTGCAAATAGCTTATTACAAGCCTTCATTTCTATACATCAGCTGATTAAGTTTGAAAGTTCATGTCAGATAATGAGATTACTAGTTACACACAGCACTGAAAAAGGAAGCAGTGACACCAGTGATTTCGCTGTCATAATGTCCTGTCCAAGAGTGGGCAGGGATGTGACTACTCCTCAGCCACAGCTTGACTATTACCATCTCCATTCATCAATCATGCTCAGATGTTTGTGCCATGCGATAAATCTTCTCTACAAACACTATCCAGTCCCACAGTCCCATCTCTTAGTGATAAGCTCATTTTGTAGAACTCAGTTTTCAAATATCAAAAACAAGTTTCTTTTCTCAGTTTTCCTGTCTTCATTTTGTTTTTAGAGATAGGGCTTATTTCTCATGATACCTTTGTTTCTAAAACCTAATAATTAGAAATTAAGCTAATTCCCATTAGTCCAACAAGATAAACCACTGTAGTGATTGCATGACTGTTATTTTCTCTTTTGTATTACCTGATGCAAGTGTCCATAACTCTAGAAAGCTGGAAAATGCATTAAACCTTGAAATGTAGAGGAAAAGAAAATGAAGGTGGTTCAATTAGAAAAATGGTTGGCTTTGATTAAAGCATAGTTGATGCCAATTTGTTCTAGTCCAGTTTTCTGGGCAATGAAGATATGGTATGTGTTTAAGTGGAAGGAACTCACTACTTGTCTTATAATAACCCAGATCAAGAAAAAACCATCATTCCTCTGCCTACTGAACAAATACTCTATCTTTGATGTGGATACCTAGACTTTTCTGGTACTTGTGTTTTGCCACTTTTACATAGAAGAACAAGGAAAAAAGAGAAAAACTAAGAAATAAATGAGTACACAGAGATGATCTTACAGAAAGTGAAGTCCTATATCTGCAACATTGTCCATAAAAATGGAAGTGACAAAAATACCAAATATGTTTCACTGACCAGACGAAGGACTAGGGGAATCTTGGTATAGAAGACAGCTATGCCTTCTTTCCAGATAAAGCATAGGCCTCACTCGGGTGCAGAGAGGAGTGATTATTCTGCTGTGAAGAGCAGAACACAAGTAATGAACATTCAAGGACAGCATCATGGGGTATCTCATAGTTACGGTGTTTCACAGCAAAAGAGATGAGATTCTTGGGTTCAGAAATAGCAAAATAATTAGCTGAAAGACTTGTCTATATGAGGCACTTAGTCCAAAAGCACTCTAGGGCTTGACAGTTGCTATCCATATAATTTTAGAAGTATATCCTTCCCTATTTAAGCCTCAGTGCAACCATGTTCTGGGATGAGTGACCACTAATAAACAGACTTTATGGATTAATGCTGAGACAGAAGAAAGGGCATCTGGGTTTATTCTAAGACTTGTAGCTATTCAGACAAGTTGACACCTCCCCCAAAATGCTATGAAGTTCAAAAAGTACCTTAAAGCTTGGATACAACTCTAGGGAAATTAGGGTGGAGTTCTACATTTATGAAAATATTTCATGAAAAAAGAATCACAACAGAAATTTCTTTTAAGTATAAGAAAGTGATACTGCATTGTTTATTTCTTAAAGTTTCTTAAATTTTGTATTAAATATTAATTCTGTCAGAAATAAGAGTTTGTCCAGAATGTTTAAAAATCTTAGTGTGACCCACTGTCTGTTGGAGACTAATTTTGAATCTAAGAGTAAATTTAGGAGTCAGTTATATTTAGATATAATTATAATCTTGTTGAAGTATTTAGTGTCCTGAAATGAGATAGCCTTTGAAATTCAAATCCTCATTTCAGTAATAATTCCAGTTAATTGTGATTAGGTTGAGTGTAAAACACATTAGAAGGCCTTAAATATCTTAAACGAAAGGCAAGCTTTTAGGGCATGATAAGAAGAGTACTAAAGAAGGAGGGGAGAGGAAGGATATGTTTAAAGGTCTAATACTGAATTCTGAATTTCAAAAATGAAACTGTATTTTAAATAAAAGTCTATTCATAACTGTAAGGCTTGGAGTGGAAACATTTACTCTTCAAACTTACCTCTTAATTGACCCAAAATTGGAGGGTAGACACAAACAAAGGACAAAGGAGCTAAGTGCACCCAGAAACAAAGAGAATGATATAGCTGCTTGGGTGCAGGGAGAAATCACTTTTCTGACAGCCACCAAGATGGGCACAACATACTACTTTGCATTGATGTTTAGGAAGCTGAACTGTATTTCCATATTTTAAGCTCATGCAGAGTAGTGAACAATGTGAATTCTAAGGGTAGCTTACATGCAGTCTAGATCAGACAGAGATGAAAGCATAAAGTAATTTTTATTTCAAAGAGGACAGCCCTTCCATCCTTTTTCTCTTTTTTTGACCAAATAAATCAAGAGGAAAAGGCTGCAATTTCAATAGGGTCACTAATCCAAATCATCTGCTCTCTTAACAAAGAAATTGACTTTTCTACTTTTTATCCCTCCTCAAATTTCACAGAAATAATCAGTAAAAGTATAAACTTTAAAAAATGAACCTTAGAAGGTTAGGCTTTAACAAAGGGAAGAAATTTAACAATAATTTTAGGACTTGCATTGTACCAAAATAAAAAAAATATATAGTAACAGTTAAAATATCAAAGACACCTCGAAGTTTTGTTCCCTCCAATCTTGGCAAATTATACAAGTTATGTACTTGTTGTAAAAGGTGATGTAATTTTAGAATGCAGTGATATAAATGCATGTCAGACAACAATAACTACAAGCCAGTTGGTATGTCCTCCAACTTGTCAGTAGAATACTATGTTTTGGACTTTCTGCCAAATTTTTAAAAAGATCATTGGCAAACTAGAATACCTGTATGAGAGTGAAACTGAGCCAAATGAACTGAGACAGCTATTTGAAGAAATGCTGAATTATGATTTTCACTGACACACTGGAGCAGCAGAACTGAATATAAATAAATAAATAAAGTGTTGGTTTGTGGGTGTTTGTCGTAAGTACACATAGTATATTTCAGTAAGGTTATAAATACAATTAAAGTCATTTTTTAAAAAATTACAAATACATGAACACAAAACACGTTTCATGTTAGATAAGTTGTTGCAGGTATTCAATAATCAATGTCAACTAGAATATGAGTGGGTTAGTGATAAAGTCAAATATAGAAAAGTCTACTCACATTGCATTGAGAAAGCTACAGGTTGAAGACATGAAATGCTTCATCAATATTGATATCTTCTTTGTATATTATATTTACATATTTCATGGCATAGCTATGGTCTAATAATTGACATAGAAGCTACATCACAAATTTTTTGATACTAACTGGCCTCATTTGACATCAAAAAGATAATCAATCCCAACTTGACTAAAGCCAGAGTTTTCAGTCTTAAAATCATTAATATGCATGAGAGATAATCAAGGTAATTGATTTGCATGATTCAACTTAATAAATTTATTACACAGACAAAAAGGTGACAAAGACCATTCTAGTTGAGTTTTCTCAAGTATGTCACTTCAAATGGGGACATGGAGAGATCATTTGTACCATAATATACAGACAACTTTAAAAGAAAGTACCTAGTAAATTCACGAAATGATTTTGTAGTTATCACTTGTTATTGTGACTTATTAGTGTTCTTCGTCAGCATGATGCTGTTGCCCTGATGTTATAAACTTACTGCTGCTCCTGGAGTTCACATATGATCGTCCATCGTCAATACCATGTTGTCAGTAAGACATACATTGAAAAAAATCGCAAGACATGAGGCAGATCCAAGGTGGGAAAAATGGGAACTTGCAAGGTGGGCATGAGGTGGGGAAGACTATGGTCAACCAAT